GGTGGTGGTTCTGCAGCAGGACCTTCTTCAGGAACTTCTACTGGTGGTGGTGCTGCTACTAATCCTAATGGATCTATGAGGGATCGCTTCAATCAACATAATGACAGAGTTATTCCCTTGAAGAAATGTTCGGAGCTTATTGTTGGGGTTTTGTATAAAATTAAAAATGCGTAGTGGAAAGACAGCTACGCTTAATGCTGTTGTTGAATTAATACATGAGTATTGTGGTAAAGATTCTGTGCTGGTTTTGGCACCCACTGGTTCTTCTGCTTTGCAAGCTCAAGGAGTAACAGTTCATAGCGCTTTACGATTAGGATACAATGCTACAGGTCATGTCCCAGATCTCAAAGGTGAAGCTTTGTACTATTGGAGAAAGGATCACATAAATGTGAAGTTTGTTTTAATTGAAGAATATTCTATGGTTGGCTGTAGATAATTATATAATATCAACAAACGGTTGTGTCTTCAAGATAATCATTTGCCCTTCGGTAATTTGTTTATTTATTTCTTTGGTAATATGCGTCAGCTAAAGCCTGTAGCAGATACTCCATTGTATTGTAATCCTTTGCATGCTAGAGATGATATTATTTTCTCAGGTTTATCTTTATTTTCTATGATAGATAAAGTTATATTATTGTCTGTTCCACATCGTCAGAAGAATATTGCATTTCTTGATTTTCTTGTGCGTTATAGTCAGTGTACAGTAACTGAAGCTGATACTACTCTTATAAAGCAAAGATTTGGGAAAAATTTGAGTATCGAAGATAAGCAAAGATTTTCTGATTGTGTACATCTGTATTCCACCAGAGCGGCTGTAAATGATTTTAATCTCAAGCAACTCATAGCTTTGAATTGTCCAGTTGTAAAAGTTGATGCTGAAAATAATTCCAAAGTGGCTGCTGCTGCTTCGGAAGATAAAGTAGGACTATCTAAATGTTTATATATTGGAGTTGGTTGCAGAATTATTCTTAGGAGGAATCTGTGGACTAATATGGGATTAGTTAATGGTGCTATGGGTGTTGTTATTGATATTGTGTATGATGAAAGTAGTGTTGTGAATATTGATCCTCCTAGATTTATTGTTGTGAAATTTGATAATTTTAGTGGTCCTGTTTTAGATTCTGGCGGTGTACCTATTGAAAGAGTTGTTGTTTCTTGGTATGAGATGTTTAGGCAATGTAGTCGCGTTCGCGTTAGTTTCCTTTAATGTTATGTTATGACTATATATCGTTCCCAAGGTTTGACTTTGAATAGAGTAGCCATTCATGTGGATAAGAAAGAGAGACATCCTGGAGAATATTATGTGGCTATGTCTAGAGTTAAGGATTTGTGTGATTTGTGTATAATTATTGAAGATGATGCTTTATTATTTTCATTCAATTATTCTTTATATTCTGAGAGATTTGATGGGGAAGCTAGAATTATGGGACGCCATCTTTAATTGTCTTATTTTTGGCATTCTTGTGGAGGTGTCATTGTTTTGTTAAGTGTCCAATAAAATCTATGGTTACCAATACATTGTTTCATTTTGAGGTCCTTCTATCTTTTCAGCTGGTTTAAAAATTATTCTAAATTAATAAAATGTGTGCAAGAAGAAATTTAAAGTTGACAAGATCACGTTCAGAAATGGATGTTTTCAAATTTCTAAGTGATTCATCAGATTCTTCTGATGAAGAATATGATTATAGACCTCGAAATAGGGTATGATCAAATTTTTGTTTTATTGGTTAGTACAAATTGAAGGTTGCTTTTGACAGTTGTTGATTGGTTTGTTCATCTTTTAGAGGCATCGTAGTTGTCCTCTTCGGTCCTGTACTCGTGGGAGAGTTAAAATAATTCCTGAAGATGAGTTCGTGGTAAGTGTAATAGGTTGAGAATGGGTGCTCCTACAATGCAGTTTTTAGCTAGCTTCAATTGGTCTTTACTTTATTTTGAGTCTATATTAAGTGAAGCTTAAGTGAAAGTTAAGTAAATGCAACTTTTATAAAGCTTGGTTTCACTTTATTTTCATTTCATATTCATTTTATATGATTAAATGTATGTGAAGATAACGTGCAGTGGAGAAATTGTGGGAGCGCCCAATATGGTTATACATTTAGTTGAATAGTTTGTTAATTTATCATTTTTGTAGCAGACGAGGCATCATAATAATGATGGTGAAGCTGGGCCATCATTTCCTGTCACCACCAGTGAATGTGGAACCTCTAGAAATCATACAAATGATGGTGCAGCTGGACCAGCCTTTCCTGCTCCTGGGGAACAGGCTACCTCAAGGTTCCGTCAAGGGAGTGGATCAGCAAATGGAGTGTCAACTGAACAAAATTCAGCAGTAAGTAGCACCTATTTACAAATATTTATTTTATTTAATTTCAATTTAATGTTAGTTGATCATGATTTTTGTTGCAGCCAATTAGCAATGATAGTCAATCTTCATCTGGGTCTGGAGGGTCCACACCTGTAGCTCGAAGTTCAGGTGCAGGAACTTCTACTGGAAGCACTACTGGTTCTGGTTCAGCTGGAGGATCTTCAGGTGCTGGAAGTTCTTCTGGAACTACTACTGGTGGTGGTTCTGCAGCAGGACCTTCTTCAGGAACTTCTTCTGGTGGTGGTGCTGCTACTAATCCTAATGGATCTATGAGGGATCGCTTCAATCAGCATAATGACAGAGTTATTCCTTTGAAGAAATGTTCGGAGCTTATTGTTGGGGTTTTGTATAAAATTAAAAATGCTGCTAGGGTTAACACTAAATTTGGACCAAGCATTCGAGTCGAAATTCTTGATCCTCAATCTCCTACTGGAGATGTTTTTTTATTTTTACCCTCACGCTTTAGAGATCTTAGTAATGAAGATCTTGATGAAATTAATGCTAGAGCTCTCACTGAGGAAGGTTATCATTTAGTTTATAAGGGGCGGCTTGGTCGGGCTGACATGGTTGAACTTGTCTAACTTGTCTAATCAGCACAGTCAAAATATAATGTTCAGTTTAATTTCAACAAATTATAAATCTGATCCAATGTTTAGCTCCTTATGGTTATGAAAAAGTAATCTGAACTTAAATTTTTGATGTCTTTTTGAATTTCATTCTATCTAAAACTTCAATCCTTACTTGTATCAGCGAATACCTTCCTTTTCCAGAAATAAAGTTTTGAAACTGTTGTGGTTTTTATTTATTTATTTATCTTTTACACTAGCAAGAAACAAATGATCTTCTTCCAGTGCATATTGTGCAGACGGTTTCTTTATTTGCAGTTTGAGTAACAACAAATATTAGTTTTTGTTTTCTGCAAGGCTGTGTTTGTTTTGTTTTTGTTGTACAGCATGATCTTTATTGATGTGGTGTTATTTTTGATGTAGGTTTTGATTTATTTGCTAGTTGTCATCTATTTGTTATTGTTTGGAAGCTTTTGTGG